CCTTATCTGAATATTCAATAATCCTAATTTTTGAAACATTTAATATCTTCTAATATGAACAAATTCTTTCAGAATAATTATTATTTCATCAATATAAAGGCCTGATTTGTTGAATAATTAATTACCGTATTGTCGCGAAATAACTCCCCGGGGCATTATTTCGCGACCAACTCTGAAAACCGAATATTCTAATATTTACTGTTACACCCGGAACTACCTCTTATAAGTCCGGTATAACGGTTTTACTATAGCGACGGGTATAATAGGAAATTAATATTCAAGTGCCGATTTATGCTAAGCAAAGTATATGGTTAGTTGCGGTTACGTTTTTAAGAGGATTTGGTGATTTGCAATTACGAAAGAGGCAAACGGCTAAATGTATATGGAGATACAAGTAGTCGTATTAGCAAGGTTACAGTTTATTCAATAGAGTTCTCGAGTTATACGTGTATGAAGACACTATAACTGATTTATAATTTATTCGAGTGATCCATGTATAAAGACACGATTACTCTTCCGGGAATTGTTAGTTTTTTTATTTAATAAAGTGATTGAGTTGTTCGTGTATGAAGACACGATCGCTCCTTTATTATTATTGAGTTGTGGCGAACTGTTCTTTTTCAAGAGCGATACATGAGCTTATTTATACATTTTAATCGTTATAACCTTTTGCTATTATTTCTATTAATAACCCTTTAGCGCTATTTAGCGCTGTTTAGCGCTTCTAAAACTATATGCTTCAAAACTAGTGGTGGTATTTGCATCATTTAGCGATAGCTAGCGCTAGTTAGCGCTACTTAGCGCTCTTGGCATTAGTGTTACATTTCTGCCTAATTGTCACATGATGCTTAATTACAGGGGTTAACATTACCGATTAAATTCGATGAATATTAGGTGATACAATTAGAAAATTAAAATTTGTAATGTAATTTTAGCTTAATTAAATATTTCTAATTAAAGTTCAAATAAATGATAGAATAATATTTTCGTATTTAAGTAGACTTAAAGGTATCAACAAATATAATCATTTTCTCAACTTAGGTTTTAATATGCTGTATGAACCTAATGAGTGTGAGCAGCTTAAAAAGTTCTATTATAGTTAGATAAAATCATGGTGCACCTCTGAAATGTGTGGCACAATAAAGATTTTAAAGTTCATTGACGTTAAAGTTAGCGCACCACAGTTAGGATTAACAATATAATAAAATTGTTCAACTTTTAATAAAGCATTAAAGATGGTTTCTTATGCAGATTTAAACTATTTTTGACAAAGCGAATGTCTGCTCTGATCGTGTCACGTTAGACTTAATCTTGAAATCTTATCCAGATGTTATTGTTACAGTATACGTAGGCAGATTAATCGTGACAGAAGGATGCCGCCCACCGTTTCTAGCCCAGCTTGAAAAGTCAAAATAAATAAGGTGTAATATGATAAAGGTATGATATAACGGTAAATTCCTTGATTTTCAGACTATCGAAAGGATCGCGATCACGAGACCGAACCATGTTTTTTGCCTTACCCTAGCTTGTAATTATGGTTATGGGTAACATAATATAACGTGTAATGAATAGTGCGAGCGTTTCAACCAACTCGAAAGTAAAAAAAAGGCCTTTAAAGTTTGTACATCGATTATCATCAACCATTAATGAATGTATCGGATATTTATTCGAATTTTTCAACGGATATAAAAAAGTTGATCAATAAATATCCGAATTTCTCTTACTTTGACTGAGTCAAACTCTAGCTCATATTGTATTGAATATGATTTTATACAAAATTTACGTTGCATCTGGTTCCGATTTTTATTGACTAAATGATTGCAAATATTCACTATTTTTCTGACGGGCAAGGTTGGCCCGATTTATGGTTAGGATTAGGATTAGAGTTGTCATTGGACAATGTCCAAATAAATTTAAATGAACTTTTGGACTTTTGGAAAATAATTGGACATATGTCCAATTGTCCAATAATTTTATTAGATAGCAATTTAATAAGAATCTAATTATCCATAATAATCTATATAAATGTAATGGCCCTTTATTTTATCGACAATTACTTTGAAAACTTAATTCACCGACAATTAATTTACAGACAAGCTTATTATACTAACGATTACTTTACAGACAAGTTCTTTTCACAGACGGTTCATTTCACTGATAAAGTAATTCTGGTTATTGTCATTAGGGTTAGGTTTAGAATTAGAATTAAGGTTAGTACAATTTATAAGAAAAAGTCAGTAAAATAAGCTGCCGATGTAATAAAATGTCTGAAATGAACTTGTCTGAGAATTAATTGTCAGTAAAATAAGCTTGTCTGTAAATTAATTGTTGATGAATTAAGTTGTCGGTTGATGAAATGATACAGATCCAATAGCCAATAAAAATTTCATTATGTCCAATTAAATTATTTGGACAAATTAGATATTGTCAAAATATCCGTTTAGAATTAGCGTTTGTTAGAATTTAAAAGTCGGTGAAATAACTGTCGTGAAACGGGCTTGATTATCATGTAAGTTACGTCATCTGGTTTGTTTGTGACGACTATAAAGGAACCAAGAAAGGATTTGTATTTTCATTTTTCGTTTTGCTGCCGCTCAACTTAAGATCTCGATATATCGGGCATGGGCGTTATTTTGAATTACGGCCCGAATTAAACTTAATTTGGGCCGCAACGCCCATCCGAGGTTTTACTATGAGTAACACTTGATCTTACAGACTGAATGTTAAAAAATTGCCCTAGTGCTAATGCTAAACCGGGTATTCATATTATGTACTAACATTAGATCTCTTTTTCGACGGTATATTCTACACCCCTTTACTTCTAAGGCATCTCACTTTTGATCGAGTCTTTGAGGGCTTGTGTTATACAACAACATTAGCTAAGCCGCCAGAACCGTTTCTAGTCAATAATTGTTTCTAACTATGCCACATATCAAATAGTATATAACGATAAATGTTTGTGGTTTTTTTTTTTCAAAAAAAAAAAAACAATCTCATTTTCTGAATTTATAATTATGAAGTTAATAATATTAATAATGTTTTTATGTCAATTTGCTTTTAGTCTTCCTATACATGAAAAACCTACCAGAGAGTTAATCACACAACCCACAGATGAGACTACGGTCATGTTCACCAAATACATCAAAGTTAATGACAAGTCTTTAGACATCTATACGAACAACGTAGATTATTCCAGTCTTAAAATGCTTGAACTTAACTCTCCTGATATTCAAATACCTGAACTTGACTTTCCTGTTGTTCGACTACCCATACTTAACTTTCCTGTTCTTCAAATGCCTATACTTAACTTTCCTGTTATTCAAATGCCTTTACTTAATTTTTCTGATACTCAAATACCTGAATTTAACTTTTCTGACGCTGGATCTTTCATTGGTAAGATTATAATGATAATAATAATTGGTATGGTTGTTATCATTACTTCTTACTTTCTTATTATTGGTTGCGCACGTTGTTTTGGATTTGGTTTTGGTGTTTAAAAAAAGTTGTGCTGTCATGTGTCAAAGTATGGTGCTACAGGTGTGCCTGAACAAGGTTTGATAGTAATAGGATTAGTAGCAGTAACAATAGTGTTCAAATATGTTTAATAATATTTTTTATAAATTCTAAGTGAATAGTGAAATCTTTAGTTATATTATAATTTTTTTAATAGATAACAAAAATCTAATATAAATAAATGTAATCGAATACGTAATAAATCATAACGAATACATGCGGAGTGGTATACGTATTTTTTTTTTTATTGATTGGCAACGATTGGCATCAATTAATAAAAATAATTCGAAAGTACAGGTATTAAACTAAACGAATACTACGAACCTGAATTAAAATATATATTGCGAAACCAAGCTAAATATGTATCGTGAAACCCAAGATGAGCACATATACATAGTTCAAATTAATAAAACCTAAGCTAAATGCTAAATATTAAATATAATACGAAACCAAAACTAAATATAATACGAAACCAAAACTAAATATATGTCACAAAAGTTATACCTGATTTAAAGTGTACATCATTATATAGAACTAAAAGTTAAGCAAATATCTTTCAATGTTATTAGAATATTTAGGTTGTTGCTTTTTAGAAGCGGGTTTATAATTAGGATATTTAGCCATATGTTCAAGTTTCAACCGTTGAGCACGAGCACGCCAGAATTGTTTAACTTCTTCAGGTTCATTTTCAGCAACAACAATTGAAACATGTTTGTTATTCATTCTAGGATTTTTAAGAATTCAGGTTCCATATATTCACGATAGGTAATGAACCAATTTTTAGGACGAGGAATATGACCATTATTTTTACGTTTGCGCCATGTACTATTTAAATAGAAGGAGGATGAGAAATTTTGAAAGAGAACCATGGATACTAGATACAGAAGCAGCAGGTGAAAAAGGTACGATAGTGGAAGTAGGAGAAGTAGGAAAAGGACCGGTAGAGAAAGGTTTTTGGAAACAAAATCACTTCATAACCTTTTGGAATATGATCATATTCAGGTTTCCCAAGGTCGAGTCTGTGATGTCATAAATTAAAATCCCGAAGCACAATATTGTCTTTAAATAACAAAAGCAATGATCGTAACAGTGATTTTTTTTTAAAAAAAATGTTTTTAAAAATATAGATTACCCATCAATTGATATTAGTTCTGACGAGGAATTTACACCATCGGTTAATAGCTTTTCAAAAAAGAAAATTTTTCGAAGAAAATGATTCTTTAATGAAAGCTTTATTACTAATAAAAAGAAAATTTTTTTTCGATAAAAATAATTCTTCAAATAAAAGGTTTAATACCGATAATACATTTGAAGATAGATTTCCTTTTCTCAAAAAACTTATATATAATATATTAAGCATATCATTCTACGCCGCCATAGATAGTAAGCGAGCCTATTTTCAAAAATGGCAAATGACATTGAAACTCTGACGAAACGTTGAAAGTTAAACATGTGACTTTTAATTTTAATTAAGGTAAACTTGTTTTTTTACTTATCATTCTAATTGTTGGCTGTAAAATGCCAAGCAAATACAAGGTAATTTTTTATGCTAATCATTCTAATTGGAAAATATATTAAGATAAAAGGCTAATTTAAATTATCTTAGGATTTTACCTTCAGTTTTATTGATTTTGTCAATTTCTAGTTTCGTCACATTTTACCAGTTTAAAATTTTTTAGCAAAATCGAAATTAGGGTTTCGACTTCACCGGTACGAAACCTCTAGGTTTTGCTTAACTACTATAATTGCCACGTCAAACTATTCAGGACAAACAAATTAGGATGTCTGTCCAAAAACTATTCTCGAAAAAAAAAAACATGAAAAACACGCGTAATTATATATAGAAAAAAACCTCAGATTAATTGAATAAAGCAAATTAATTTGTTAACGTTAAATATAAGCCTATTTTATGTAATATAAAAAATATTCAAAGACGTACACACGTACATACAATTCCGTAAAATCTTGATTTTTGTTTTGTAATCCCGTAAAAAACAATATAGTACGACAGTACAATTCCGTGATTTTAAAATCTTTTTTTTTTTTTTACTGATCAATACGCGATGTGTTTGTTATATTTTTATTATAACCGTAAATAACCTTTTGCAGAATTTTCGTGAGGTTATATAATTAAATTATTTGCAGCTATACTATTTTTACACATATATTATATCTATTATGAGTATAGTATGCTAGTTTTATATACTCCAATGTGATTTTTGTAGTATACACTCAATCATATACCTATACATGCTGGCAAAACTAAAAATCTCAAAATCCCACCCAAATCCCAAATCCCAAATATAATAAAATTGTCCCAAA